TGCTTGCAAGGCAGGTACTTATGCCGCTGAGCTAAATCCCCAGCCCTAGAGCATTTCTAATGTGAAACCTAAAACGATTCAAACTTTGAAGCTTTCTGAGCTCAGACATGAAATTCCTGTTGACCCAGCCAGGTATGATGGCGCACACCTGTGATCCCAGCACTTGGGAGGCTGAGGCAGGAAGATTATTGCAAGCTCAAGACCAGCCTGGGCTACCAAGGGAGCTCAAGGCCAGCTTGAACGGCATAGGGAGACCCTGTCTCACAGAGACAAAAAAAAGAAAGAAAAGAAAAGAAAGAGAAATTCCAGTTGAACTCGTGATGGATTGCTAGGGTGCAACTACACTAAAAAATTACATAAAATTACCTCTGGTCTGCATATATAAGGTATGTATGGAACATAAATGAATTTTGTGTGTCCCTTCTGCAGAGCATCTCAGTATATAAGTGCAAACATCCCAAAATCTGAAAATATCTGAAATCCGAAACACTTCGGGTCCTAAGCATTTTGGGGAAAGGTACATTCCACTTGTATTGCACAAATTAATTCTTGTTCTTGCTCAAAAAACAAACAGCAGGGACGGGGGTTTAGCACAGCAGCTTAAGTGCCTGCTTGGCAACTCGAGTTCATGAGTTCGATTCCCTGCACCAAAAAAAAAAAAAAAAGTATATATATGTATATATAAAACAGAGAAAGTAAGAGGTTCAGCTGTGAGGGCATCCAGAGCTACCTAAAAGGGAACTTCAGTTTTATTCTGAATTTCCACAAACGCAATACACATTCATCACCCTTCCTTTATTTATTTGCTAGTTTGGTGAGACAGGGTCTTGCTATGCAGTCCAGGCTGGTCTTGAACTCACTATATAGCCTAGGATGGCCCAAAATCCCAGTGATCCTCCTGCCTCAGCCTCTTGAGCCCTGGGATTATAGGTGTGTACCACCATACCTGGATAAACTACCCCTCCTATACCAGCATCTTTTTGAGTCCCAGGCTAAACCAAGTGCTTCTAAAATTTAGAAACTAATATTGTCCACAGGAGAAATAAGATCTGTGCCAATCTGCCTATGGGAGGTGGGAAGGCAGTGATGGTGCCTTTCATGGTTCTGCAAAGAAATATTAAACATGCAAAAGTTTCTCTCCTTCCAGTTTAAAAAAAAAAAACAACTCATATATATATACTGGGAATTGAACTCAGGACCTGTGTGTGGCCTGCCATTGGACTATATCCCAGGCCCAAAAGAAACATTTAAACATTTAAAGAATAAATGTGGAGGGAAAAAAGTGGGGCCAGGGTGCGACTCAGTGGTAGAGCACTTGCTTAGCATGTGTAAGGCCCTGGGTTCCATCCTTAGCACTACAAAAACCAAATCAAACCAAACCGAGGTGAAAACAAAGTAAAAGGGAGTTTTTAAAAAAAAAGGTCAAGAGCAAACAAAACAAATTCTGCCTTGTCTCCACTCAGAGCTTCTTCCCAATCAGATATTTGGTCACAAAGCCACACTTACGCAAAAAACAAACAAACAAAAAATCTTTAAGACACAAACGGATACGGCTATGCACACAGTATGTGTGTGAAGCACATTACATTGTTAATTTTAAATGGAAAGACCAAGTCTTCATCCAAACCCTGACCAGCTAGGTCTGAAGCACGCAATCAAACTCAATACAAAACCACATAGCAACAGCGTGCTGACTGCTACTCCATGGGGTGTCTGTCTGGGATCCCCTGCTGGCCCTGGAGGGCTAGTTGCACCTCAGCCCCACAGTTTCAGCTAACACAACGGACCTGGCTTTTGTCCCAACTTCAGCAGGAGTTAAAGGTTAAAAAAAAAGAACAGAAAATATTATTCTTACCCAATCAACAAAATTTATTCGGTAGAATTAAACAGCAATAAAATTCTCCCAGTATCTTCACTAAGAAAATTAAAATAAAAAGCTAAGTCAGTGAAGATTGCCATATAGATGTTTACTACCTAGTAATGCTAATAACATGGCCACGTTTCTTTGAAAGTCAGGGACACCAGAGAATACAGGTTCATCTTTTGAATTTGGAGAGCACCATCCACCAAAAGCACATGGTTCCATAAAACATGGCTGATGCACTGGTATTTCCACATTCTATAATTTGAATATTGGAAGCACTGTTTTATTCTCAAAATGTCCTTCCCGTTTTAAAAACTCATTAATGTTCTCTTAAGACATGTACCCTTAATGCCACATTTTTTTTAACTCAAGACCTTGCACTTGCCAGGCAAGTGCTTGTGCTGCTGATCTAAATCCCTGGGCCCTAATGCCACACTTTTGAAATGAAATAGCTTCCAGGTTTAGAGCCACGCTCAGGCTCGCTGAAGCTCTGGGCCAGGTGGGTGGATTTGCTCTGCCCAGGCCCACCACCTGCAGAAGCTCAGCCAGCTGATGAACCCACCATACTAACATCCTGGTCAGCCTAGAGGCCGCCTGGAGGGTAACCAGTGTGGCTTGTCCCTGGAACGACTCATCTCTTTTCTCGTCTTTGCGGCAAACCCCTCCAAGAAGACTTCAAACACACCCGGCTGAAGTTACCTTTACCCCTATCTGGATCATGATCCATTCATTCGCCAGTTCCTGATACCATTTGTAGGTCTCAAATGCACTTAAAATCTAATATAATACACGCAAAAACGAACTCACCATTTCTGAGATTCCCTGCAAATCCAGGTTCTCTGATGTTTCCTATTTAGTGGATGAGCCCACCCTGTAAGTCCAAATGCACAAGCAAGAGCCCTAGAAATGGCCCTCTTGTCCTCCTCACCTGCCCCGTGAGTACTTCACACAGTCACTTCTGTCCACACCTGTTGCATGGCCCCTTCACCTCACCCCTACTCATTCAACTGAACTTTTCTCATTCCCACCTTACACTCAACTGGTGGCCTATCACCAACACCTCAAGTGCCAGTTTTGCTGACCACCCCCTGCTCCTTCCTGCTGGCATGACACTCCTTGTCACAGCTTCTTGAGATTCTACACACTAACACTTTGAGGACAGCCTTCTAAACCCCCCGTTCTCTACAGAGCTCTCTGACCAATTCTCTGTTGCCTCAATAGGTAACCTCTTCCTCTTCCTTAAAGACTGTGTGTTGCCCCTCTTCTTTCCAGACTTAAGTCTTCTTTCCAGACTTAATCCACTCCTCATTTCTAGGTCTCTCTAAATGTATTTACCAACTCTCAGTTTCAGCTATGCTCTTTCCTTTGAGGTTTAGACATGTCCTATACGCCCTTCAAATTCCACACGGCCCACATGGAATTCACCGTCTTTCCCTCCCCTTGGCCCACCTTCTCCTTCACCAGGATCATTGCCCTGAGGGGGACATCACCACCTGACAGCCAGGTTCCACATGTGAGTATGCTTCTCAACTTCTCCCCTTCATTCCCACACGGACTGCCCATTTCCCACCTAACCAGAAGTCTCCTTTTTTTGTTCTTGCTACAGCAGCTTCTGGTTAAGGCCATCAATACTGTTTGATCATTCCTTCAACTACTTAACACATTTATGTCAGGCTCCTACTATGTGCTGGATGCCTCAGCTATAGTCAGGTAGGTCCTTGCCCTCAGGAAGCTTATACTTTCATGGTAAATTGAGCCTTACTATTAGGCATCTGTAACAAGGGATAAGGTGCAAAGGGTTATAAATGTATAGAGTTTTAAGATACTAGGTGAGCACAGAAAAAAGCACCATATCCTGCTTTACTTAGGAATATTTACTAAGCAAGCTCCATCTCCTTGAGCAGCTGAGGGAAGTGTCTTACACAGGGCCCACCATGTTAGGCCTAGAGACAAGAAAGTTTGATGCACAGAGAGTCACAGAGGATAGAGATGGTTGGAATAGACAAAGTGAGAAGGGTAGAGGCGAGACTTCAGCTGCACTCATATTACGTAGGCAACTGGAGAGCCCTGAAGGGTGTTGAGAAGTCAGAGATGAGAGGGGAAGAGATCATCCTGTCGGTGGTGGATTTATAAGGGACTTGGCAAGACCTCTGGAGGAACGTGCGTTAGGAAGACACTGTGGCAACCCAAGGAATACACAGTAGCCTGGGGATTAAGAGGCCGGGAAATACTAAACGCAGGCCAGTTTCTAGGCAGGATGAAGAGGAAAGAGGAGATGCTGCTAATGCCTCTTGAGAGCAGGTCATTCCCTCAAGCTTCAAGCTTTCCCCTAGGGTGGCCCCCTGCACACTTTTCAAGTTGTAATAAGGCAGCTGTTTATCCAGGATTAAGCAGTACAAAAGATGTCACTACTGACGGTACTGCATCTGCGTTTAAACAGGCTTTGTTTCAGAACTCTGGAGCTGCAGATTAAATTCATTCAATTAATGGAAAAATGTACACCAGTCGTCACTGCCAAACCTTACCCCAATGAGACTTACTTTCTCTGAGGAAAAGTCCGACCTCGCTTTCTAAAGACTCGGTTTACTTTTAAACTATTATACTAAACCACTAAACCACCTCACCCCAACTTTTAAACATTTTTTCCTGAAGCATTTTTAAGTTTTTAACATTACAAACACGCTGTGCAATGACGGAGTTGCATTTTTCTCAAATAGACAATAGCAAGCAAATAAATACGCAAATATCTATCATTATTATCACTTCCTCCCAGGCCCTCTCCTGCCCGATCCAGCCCTGAGAGATCCGACGGCCACCAAGACCCGCTCCAAGGCAGAAGTCTTTCTGTCTTTTCTCGATAGCGGCCGGGGTGGGAGGCCCTATACAGGGCCATCCTGATTACTGTTCTGGGATCGAGCGAGGACGCGCTGGGTATCTTCCGCCAAGCAAACCTGGGGAAATTTGCTTTCACTCACGGAAGGGAGAGCTCTCGTCCATCGGCCTTCCTCAGGCCTCTAAGACACGAGCCTGGCAGGCCGCCAGCCGAGGGACGCCCTCCTCGTCTCAGGCATTGGCACCTCCCCGCCCCGTCTTATCCCTTATGGCCTCACACAAACGACGCTAAAAAAGCTGGGACCTTTGCCTCGGATTTAGTCTAGACGTCGCCATCCCAGCACGAACACTCTGCACTCCGACACCTTCATAGAAGCCATCTTGCGCAAAAGGCGACCGCTTTCTTTTGACTCTCGCGCCAACCCGTAGAGCGAGGACGCCGCCGGGAAGTGGTGCGCAAGAACGGAAGTTTGAAACACTAGCTTCCGATGATTGCCTGCCCCGCCTCCTTACAAGAGCGATCTATTGGCTGCGGCTCACGATCTTGTGATCTCGCGAGAGGTGGCTGAGGGGCGGCCATCAGAGCGTCTGCCCTCACGCTCCCCGCCCCGCCCCCGCTTCGACCGCGGTTTCTGCCTCCGCCTCCCCCTGCTTGGCGCCTGCCGCCGCCGCCCCTCCCCGGCCCCGGGAGCGGCCGTGGAGTCCCCGCCGCCCACAGCGCGTTGCGCGGGAGGCGGGATCGGCACGGTAAGATGGCCGCGGCAGGCCCTGGCGGCCAAGCCGAGTGGGACCTGGCGACAGGCCGGGGTCTGGGAGTCGGAGGCCGGAGGTTAGGGGTCGGGGGCCCGGGGCCTGACCGGGCGGCTTGGGCTGCAGATTGGGGGCCGGAGGTCGAGGCCCAGGAGTCTGGGGTTGGCGGTGTGAGGTCAGAAGCTGGGGCTGGAGGCCGGCGTCCGGCCGCGCTGCCTGCGCTGGGGGCTTACAGGCCAGAGGCGTGAGCTGCCCGGACTTGGGCTTCTTGCTGCCGTCTTCTACCCAGCGCGGCGCAGGCGGGCTTGCTTACCCGCTGCGGGCTAGAGACCAGCGTTCGCGGCTGGGGTGGACGCCGGGCAGCACGAGGTGAAGTTACTGGAAGCGTGCATCTTTCACTGTGACAGTGACTTTTAAAACAAAACTGCCTTAAAGCGGACGGAACTGCAGGACGTTAGCTACCGCTTAGAATATTTGTCTCCGTTGACCGTGTAACTGCTGGAGTTCGAGGCTGCTGCACTCCTGAAAATCAGAAATGCTTTTGGTAACTTCACTTAGGCTCCCGAATGGCGCCAGTGTAATAGCCAATTACACGTGGAAACGGAGAGGAAGGTGCTTGGATGGGGGCTCTTTCCAGATTGGTCTTTAGCTTATCTGTGATCTGTAAATTGAGTTTGATCTGGTGAGTTTTGCAGTTAACCTGTGACTGGGAGAAGTGTCTGTGTGACAGCGCCGCCCATTTTTATCTCGCGCCTTCCTTGTGGCACTTGAGCACAGTTTCTGCTGCTGACATCTCACTGTCTGCCTAATCTCTCAAGTTCTGATGTCCCCCAACTAATGTGGCCCCTTTTCTCTCCCTAGGGCCACTCCCTCCCTGGCTGTAGTCTTGGCTTTAAAAGACTTGTGTGGTGGCAGGGACCCTAATTGTTCCCAGTGTGGAGCCTGTGACCTGTCATTCAGATACCTGACTTGCTCTGCTCCTCCAACCTGTTCTGCTCCCAGCCTTCCCTCTTTGTTTGTGGTCCCAACCTCCAACGCCTCAAGCTTGAAACCTCTGATCTCTGATTGTCCTCCATTCTTTCCTTTCTTTTATTCTTTCACGTTCCATCCAGCAGCAGCCAGCCATTGACTCAGCTTCTTAACGTGGGGTAGTTCGGATTTCTTCTGCTTTTCTGTCTTCACTGGGATGTCTCCTTGCTGAACATGCCTCAGCTTTTGCCACCCAACCTTTATCCCATTGTCAGGAAACCAGAACAAATTTTTAATTGTTTTAATTTGTTGAAGCAAATTAGTTCATACTGTGCTGTGTACAAATATCCATAATGTATATGTAAGTGACAAAGTGTGGTAACAGCAGGCAGTGGTGCCTCAGCACCCACTTCCAAGGAAAGGCCAGCCAGGGCTCCTGGAGCAGGCACAGGTGCCCCTGTGATCTCCACCTTCTTGCCCACCTCGCACAGGTAACCACCTCCCAGTGTCAGATTCCATGCCTTTACTTAAAAGTACAGAACAAAAACACTTTTGTCTCAGGTATTTATTGTTAAGACATATACTGTGTCATTTTTCTTGTATTTGTTCTTTTGAAAACTTGTGCCACACTTGGACTTCTGCTTTAACTTCAGTATCATTTTATGAGTTATCCATGTGATTCTGTGTGATTTTGTTCATTTTTAACTGCTTTATTTCATTGTGTATCGCAACCACAATCACTTCTCAAACCTGAGTATCTCTGAAACCAAAAGTTGTTGTTGTTTTTTTTAACCTATTTGGTGATAAAACCAGACTTAGCAAAGTCTAATGTCCTCCCTTGCACTTAGTACAAACACAAACACATTTCAGTGAAGAAATAGCAGCCCTGGTTATGGAGTGCTGGCCCATATACTAGAGAGGCTATCCTAAAATGGATCGGAAGTTTTGCCACATCACTTGTGCACAGTCTGAAAAGCTCTGAATACCAGAACACAGCTGTCCCAAGACTTTGAGGTGCAGATTCTGTGTGCCACAGTTCCTCTGTCCATGCCTTTGTTGAGTACTGGCATAAGTGACTCTCATATCTTTTGTCCATCCGTGTAATGTATCTATGAGCTGAGTTGTCTATGTTGTGTGCATTCTGATGGGTTTTTTCAGGATGTAGATTTAGCAGGACTGGAATAGCTGAGCTGTGCGGCTTTACAGAGAATGCTTGACTCCATATCTTCTTTAATACTTGGCATTGTCAGGTTTCTTTCTTTCTTTCTTTTTTGGTCTTTTTCTTTTTTATCGGTACCGGGGATCGAATTCACTACCACACACTTGCAAGGCAGGTGCTTATGCCACTGAGCTAAATCCCCAGCCCGCCCTGGTTTCTTAATTTTTGTCAGTCTGATGACATAGGATTGCCTCCTTTATCAAATGCCATGGCTTGCAGTTTAGCTTTTAGCTCTGCACTGGCGGCTTTCACACTCAGCAGCCATCGGTGACACCTCCCTGGGTTTGTAAGGTCTTTCTCCTTCTGACTCTAGCCAACCTCTTAACTGCTTAAATCAACATCTTTAGTTTCTTTGTTACATATCCTAGAGGTTGGAGTGCATGCAGTCAGACTTTGCTGGTGTTCCTCAAACAAGCGTTTGGGTCTCAGGCCCTTTGTGCTGTTTCCAAGATTAAAAGTATCTTTCTTTGTGTCCCTCTTTTTTAATTGTTATATGTTGCAGCACATAGTATTTACATTTTGGGAGTAGATATTGGAACATATATAGATTCTCGCTTCTAACTAAACTGGCTATATTTACTTTTTTAAGTGATCATGATGGAAATAAAATTCTCAACCAATTATTATGTTTTCCTTTAGAAATAAATCAGAATGAGTTATGCGGAAAAGCCCGATGAAATTACAAAAGATGAGTGGATGGAAAAGCTCAATAACTTACATGTCCAGCGAGCAGACATGAATCGTCTCATCATGAACTACCTGGTCACAGGTAACAGCTTGCTAGAAAGATAAAGATGCCCGTGCTTGAACAGGGTTCTTCCTTTTTGTCCAAATGGTGTTCTGCTGCTTAAGCTACATGGAAAAGTTATATTGTGTTTGCCCGTTATAAAAACAATGCTGGACTGGAGATACAGCTCAGTGGCTCAGCACCTGCCTGGAAGTGTGAGGTTGTGAATTCAATTCCCTGTACCATAAACCAACAACAACAACAAAAAACAGTGCTAGCTTGACAGATTCATAAATTATCATGTTAAAGATGGCCTTTTCTGCAGGTAAAATAATGATCCCAGGTCTCTGAGATCATTTAAGGCAAAACCTGTTGTTTGGCCTTTGACAATCAAGACCATTGAAATTGTTCTGAAATGCATTTAAAGACCAAATAATTTTTATCTTCTGGCTAGGCCAATTAAGTGGAGTGGCCTCTTTCCAAGTGTACGCACCCTAAAAGAGGGAAGGGGGAAAGGGGCAGGAATATGTAGAAGAAAACAGCTTTCAGACCCTTCCTCCTCCTCCTGCTGGGAGGAAGAAGGTCACTGTTGGTGCTGGTGAGAAAATGTCAGAGTTTTCAAAAAGCACAAAATGAAAAATCCTATTAATGCTCGGTCCATCTACCAAGTTCATGTCTGTGAGGATTGTTTAGCAAGGCGGTGAGAAATGTGGTCCTGTAGTTGTAGTGGGAGGAAGGATATATATGCTTTGATATAGGACAGAGTCACAGGCTTATACTAAGCCAGGGAGTCACCAGGTCCCTGCAGGTGAAGCCCGTGGGAGGTGCAGCACTCCCGAGAAGGCTCATCTAGTTTGTCTGGGTCATCAGGAGCCAGACCTCGGCTCCGGCATCCAGACCTGTAATCCCGGCCTGCTTCCAGGTGCTCACACGGACACTGCTTAGCAGTCATTCTAGCCTCTGGCTGCTGGTTCAGGGCCTTTTGGATGAAGTGGAAAGGAACAGAGTACAGGCTCCTTGGTCCTGTCTTTTGAGGGCTTACCCTGTAAATCACAGCAGTACAAGTTTGTAAGAAAGAGGTTGATATCAGGGGATTTATAGACGCAGTTGGGCTTTCTAGAGATGCAAAGATTGTAATAAATCCCTGCCACCTCTCCTACCAGTGAGAATAGTTTTTATCTTTAGAGGGCTTTAAGGAAGCAGCAGAAAAATTTCGAATGGAATCTGGAATTGAACCAAGTGTGGATCTAGAAACACTAGATGAACGGATCAAGATTCGGGAGATGATTTTGAAGGGTCAGATTCAGGAGGCCATCGCCTTGATCAACAGCCTCCACCCAGAGCTCTTGGACACAAACCGGTATCTTTACTTTCATCTGCAGGTAAGTCCCAGCAGAGGAGTCTGGTGTGGACACCTCGTAAGTAAAGATGGCTTGCAGAGACTCCGAAATAAGAGGCTGATTTGCATTGATTGAACATTGCTTTAGTTTGCATGTGGACAGGATTGAGTTAGCTGCTGTTTTAAGTATTTTAGAAGCTGCTGTTTGAGTGCAAATTTAAGAACTCAGATGCTAGGAAGGCTCTTCCTTGGGTTATACTTCTTTTCGGTTCTGTTCTGTTCTTTTCTTTTCTTTCTTTCTTGCAGTGCCAGGGATGGAGCCCAGGGCCTTGTGCATGCTGGGCGAGCGCTCTGTCACTGAGCTCTCCTCCGGTCCCACACAGTGTCCTGGTCACTGGCAGCAGTGCGTGGTGGTGTTGGCACACATAGCATCATTCACCTGGGTGTGTGCCGTCTAAGCTCCTCTGTCTTTGCCATTGCCAGCAACAGCATCTGATTGAGCTGATTCGCCAGCGTGAGACGGAGGCAGCGCTGGAATTTGCCCAGACACAGCTGGCAGAGCAGGGCGAGGAAAGCAGAGAGTGCCTCACAGAGATGGAACGCACCCTGGCCCTGCTGGCCTTTGACAGCCCCGAGGAGTCGCCCTTCGGGGACCTTCTCCACATGATGCAGAGGCAAAAGGTATCCGGCAGTAAGAGGGCAGTCATTTTTCACCTTCATAGGTGTTCAGAGTTCAGAGTTCCTTGTAAGAGGATGATGTAAGTGCCACATTCGTGGCTTCGGGCAAGGCCTGTCTTCTGGGCTGATGGCACTGTGGGGGATAGTGGCACTGCCTTCCTAAATTTACCTTAACATTCTTCCTGTTTGCAAACTTAGAAAACAGTGATCTTAAGTATTGTCTGTATTTTCTTCTGAAATGTTCTCCTTGCTGTCACTCCTGTGTCCAGCGGAGTATGACAGCTCGTTGCTTGCCCAGACACAGGTTCCCCTTCTCCTGCATGCCGACTGTCCTCTCTGAGGACCGTGTATCGGGAGGCCTGCCAGCCCTTGAAGGTCCACTTGGGATGTTTCCTTACAGTATGACAGGAGAGAAGTTGCACTGCCCGCTGTGCTGGCCTCTCCTGTCTCACAGGTCTCTATACTGAGTTCCAGAGACTTACAGGATTTAACTGGCCTTGAGGCTGCCTGTGACATTTGCTGACCAGCCTCTAGAAACTGCCGCATTTAGTGTCCCCAGAGTGGCTCACAGTTACGGGTTTAATGTTTAAGTGAATAACAGACTTCTCATGCTAATTGATTCCTAAGAGTATAAAATGTATATTATTAATAAACTGCTGTACTTGAAGTGTGTTGTCATCTTTATGGGATGTGTCTATTTTCCAGGTATGGAGTGAAGTTAACCAAGCTGTTCTAGATTATGAGAATCGAGAATCAACACCCAAGCTGGCAAAATTACTGAAGCTGCTACTTTGGGCTCAGAATGAGCTGGACCAGAAGAAAGTAAAATATCCCAAAATGACAGACCTCAGCAAGGGTGTGATCGAGGAGCCCAAGTAGAGCCAGTGCCCATAGACCCTGGCGCTGTCACGATGGCACAGGACTCAGCTCCCCTCGGACTGTGACGGAAAGATTTCCACTGCAGTAGAGAACCCTCTCCCCCTACCTTTTTTTTTTTTTTTTTTTGGACCCAGAATCTTTAAAGGGAACGTGTCCCTTTTAAATGCTGGCAAACCCACGCGAAAGACACCCTGGAAGTCTGAGCCATCCGTGCACCTCGGCACACCCTCAGGCTTTCAGCGCCTTGCCAGTTACTACCCAGTGCTCCTGTGTGTGGCTCCTGCGGGCTTAGCTCATCGCTGAGTGCTGCGTCGTTAGGGAACCCCAGTTAAACTTAGGGCCTCCCACTCGGAGGACGGGAAGAGCACTGACCCTTTCGCTTTCTTTCAGCTTGCGGGCAGACAGTATGTCTCTTTGATTTTGCCAAGTCCTGTCAGGCCTTTATCTTCAGTTTTTCCTTACCCTTTCTTTTTCAATTATTTTTTGTTCCATTTTTCATAGGAAAGAATATATAAATTTAAATCCTAATTCAAAGATGACTTTTGTGCAAGGGTATTGAGTTTGGCTTGTTTTTCCCTTTTGGTCCAACTTGTGTGGCTTTTGGGGAGATGTGTATGTGTGAGGGGTGGGGCTGTGTGTTTTTTAATTTTTTAAATATATATTTTGGTGCTGTATGTGAAGAGAGACTTGTTTATAGATCAATGAACCATCTCTTGTAGGCATATTTGTTGAAAATAAAGGTTTCTCTTTGATTTCAAGAATGACCAAAACTGCCTCTGAAAAGCTGTCCCTCATCTCAGGCAGTCTAGCTCAGGGCTTGCTTTCCCTGTACCCACACAGTGACATCACCTGTCCCTGCCGCTTTGCCCAGTCTACAAGGTTAGGAGTGTTGTTGGCGACAGGTAGCCCTGGTGCTGGTGAGGGGTACGATCCCAAGTGTGGGGTGGTCAGCATTCACCACCATCTTCAGCCAAAAACATAGCTTTTAAAAAAAGTTCCAGAATTTACCACATTTGCCCTGTAAAACTCCTATTCCCTCTAACTGATTTTTCTTCTCAATGCCAAGAGAGGTAGTAACTAAAGGTCGGTCACACGGAAGGTGGTGACTGCTGAAGCCCGTGTGGAGTAGGGCAGAGCAGCTCAAGGCACGGGCAGCTGAAAGGTGAGTGGGGGCAGAGTGGCTTCCTAATGACTGCACTGGCTCGCTGTGTCTGTTACAGAAAGCAGGAGTAAAGGTAAAGGACCTGTCCCCTGGAGATGGCAGTGAAGAGGCCAAAAGCCTCACTGGCTCCAAGTAAGGGAGGAGAAGTGCCATTAAGAAAGAGAGCGTACCGACAGGTAATGCACAGTTGCAGGAGGCGCTGGGGTGGCCCAGCAGAGCGCATCACTCGTGTACTGGGTTCCAGCCAGCTGACAATCACACCCCTGCCTCATGTTACTGGTCAGAATGCTTCTGTCTACTCAAGGTTAGAATAAGCAGATTCCAAGCACCCTGCTCTTAACCAGCATCAGGACTCAGCAGAGGGACAACTGAGGCACAGCCCTGAAATTGTGACCACGCAAAACATTGGCTTTCAGCACTGCTCTAACAAGGTCCCCTGTGCCTAGGCCACTGCCAGAAATCCAAATACACGTGCACCCTGAACTGCATGAGACAGTCACTGAGGGCATTGTGACCTGTTTGTCACACTGGACCTCACCGGCCCATTTCCTTCCTGTCTTCCACCAAACGAATATAGTGAGTGGGCTTTCGTTGTGGGTCCGAGAACTCGGCCCTCTAAGCTGAAATGCAGAACTTTGGGAATAAAGGCCCAGTCCTGTGTCAGTCCTTCGTGCTGAGGCCTAGCGTGGGTGACTTAGTGTCTCAGAAAGTTACAAAATGGATTCCTGGTACCAAAAAAAAAAACGGAGATTTAGCACGGTGCAAAGGCTCAGAGTTCAATTCATAGTGCTATAAAAACAAAACCAAGAAACCTCTGTGTTTTTGGAAGAGCACCAGGCAATCAGCATGTTACTACCTTTTATTTGTGTGTATAAGATCTTTCCATGGATAATGAGTGTGGAACCTGCTTGACATGTTCTTGTAGTTTGAGGATGTGTGTAACCAGTAGTGACAAGAAGTCCATCCTGTAGGAGTGATTCGTAGACTGTGGAACAGGAATGGGGCTTGTCATGTGCATGAAATAGTATTAAGTGGCGTAGGTGTTTTTTAGCTAAATCAGCCAGTGCTAGGGTCACCGTGCGCCACACAGGTGGCCGCACAGCCAGGCTGTGTGCTGTGCCCTGTCCCAGGGCCTCCGTGAGCGTCTTCACAGGCTTCCCTGCCTCCCCTGGCTGCAGCCTCCACTGCAGGGAGAGAGCAAGGTGAGCTACTTTGGCACTGTGGATGCTCGGTTCCTCTGCTCTGTCTCATTTGTATCTTACTATTGGGTTTGTTAAAATGTAGTTACATTTGACAGTAGTTTATTCTTACACCTTCTGGTAGAAAGTGCCTTAATATTCTAGTATTCTCTTTCTGTATCATAAGGCCATATGAGGAGAAATCCCTAGTTCGGAACTTTCTGAAGCATGGGAATTGATGCAAAACAAATGAGAACTTTTTTTTTGACGAAGCTTGAATTATTTTCTGAATCTCAAAGAGGCAAATGTTGGTTGGAGCCAGTGTTTCAGACCAGAGTCTCTGGAGCCTGTGGCTAAAGTCTGGTGGCCCTAGCTGCACAGAAACTGCAAGTCAGAGTCCATCCACGTAAGAGGGGCATCCTGAGCATCTGATGAGGCCATGCAGTGTCTTCGCTTCCTTGTCTGCACTGTGTGGAGGAAGCACAGCTCCAGAAGGGTTAGATACTCTGTGATGAAAACATGAGTATGTCTTCAGGATGTGACACGAGATCGCCTTCTAGGTTGTTGTTGTCCAGTTGATCTAAACAAAAACCACGTTAAAGTGTCGGGTTGTCCAGTTGATCTAAACAAAAACCATGTTAAAGTATCGGGTGCCGGTGGCCTGTGAGATGCACTTATGTGGAGCAGGGCATCGAGGTGTGGATACCACCTGCTGTCGCTGGCCTTAACTCACTGCTGCTTTGTTGGTGTGTTTTATTTTGAAGCCGTGGTGGTGGTGGTGGTGGGTATGTCTTTGTTTCAGATGTGTGTTGCTTTTCTCAGATGTGTAGTAAATTGTGTTGTCAGCAGTTAGTTGTGTAAAGTCACAGCAGGCAGAATCGCTGCTTTTATAGCCCGTTCTTAACTTGGTAGTAAAGTTTGCACACTTTTCTAGAATGGTCATCTCAAAGCTCTTTTTTTCCTTTCAGAAAGATACATAGATAAGAACAGAGGAACATTACACTAGCACATTTTTTATTGCAAGTTGGTATCTTAGAATTGGAAAGGTAAAAAGAAACTTCAGTTTCATGTAACTGTTCTCCAACATTATTTATATTTTTACCAGAGAGTCTCCAAGATCAAACACTTAAGAACTCTTGCGCCATCCGCCAGGACCCCTGCCTCAGTGGACGGCAGTGTCTGGGCCGTGCTTTTCAGCCTTCGCAGGAGGGCCGCCACGAGGCGCCTAATGGGGAAATGTGCGGAAGGCTGCACCGCGCCAAGCGGTGGCCCGGTTGGGTCCCATGCCTGTTCACTTGGTGAGAGAGCACAGAGCATTGCTGTCCCTGTGACGTACAAAATCATGGGGCTGAGCTGATAGCAGGATGCCCTCTTGCTCCTGAAGGATGCATGCTCGCTCACCATGCTCATTGTCAGGGGGGCCTTGGTGTGAGCTGTGCACAGCAGCCTGACCGTCCCCTGCCCTGTGACCTGCCCGTCAGACACCCCATCTCCAGGATGGGATGCCATCCTTGCCTGTGGCTTTTTATTTGTGTGAAAGGAGAAACTGTTGGAATGGCCCTTGGAGCAACTCACTTTGGTGACTTCTGTGAGTGAAATGGCGGGAGCTGGTGCCCATCATGGAAGGCACAGACTTGCTCTGGTGGCAGTAAAGTGCGGGCCACGCACCTGCTAAATGACATCAGGTGCCTGTGTGGCACCAGAGATGAGACACGGGCCTGGGACACGTGTGGCTGTTGAACAGGAACGTGGGCTGCTGGTTTATCTGTGGCTTGTCGATGTCTACTATTTGCAAGGACAAGGTCCAGCATGACTACATCGCAGGAAAAAAGCTGTCCTGCACCCTGCTGTGAATGTGAAAAAATGAATGGGCTCTGTCCACTTGTTTCCTCCGAGGATGACTCTCATGTATGTGGGTCAAACTTCGAGCTCACCTGCCCAGCCCCCTGGGGAACCTTGAGACCAGCATTTACAGCTGCAGGGAAGATGCCCCTGGAGTGCAGCTGTGCACTGTGCCACGTGCTCCCACCTGCATCCACAGGGAACCCTGCACCAAGACCCCGGGACAGACACCACCAGCTGCCATCCCTCCCCACATGGACAGGTGTTGGGCACCACGATCATCTTACAGCTGGCCTTCAGATGGGAAGCCTGCTGACCTGTCCTCAAGGACCTATGTGGAGGGTCATGAGGGCTGTGGGAGGCACCGGTGGTGGCAGCCAGAGTGGCGAGGGCCATCTGCCACACAGACTTGGGCCCCTGCTTGGCCACAGGCTCATGAGAGCCGCAGGTCTTCATCTCTGAGCTGTCCAGTTAGGAATCTTGACAGTGGAACTTGTGAGATTCAGACCGAAGTCACCAGCGCCTTGGACAGAAGGAGCCATCCAGAGCCTGGAGGATTCTTCCGCCTACAGAGCTTGTGCCACACGGTCAGCTCGTCAGGAGCCTGCCCTGGTTTCCAGTGGAGCTGTGCAGCGCGCTGTCCCAGTTTCCAGTGCTTAGTCCAGGAGGCGGCCCCCTGTTCGTAGGGGGTCACTTCATGCAAATTATGTCCAACACTGAGATCTTACAGGTGTTGGGCAGTAACAGTGGAAAAGTATGTTAATATTTCCGTCTTCTGTATTCAGACTTCTCGTCTTCAGATCTTACATGTTGGGCTGGGAAGCAGGTCGAGATTAAGGGGGACACTCTATCCATAAAACGTGTCATCTAGAACCATCCTTCCCTCCCCTGCACCCTCCGGAGGGATGGCGATGGAGGCTGGCAGAGAGAGGGCATGACAGAAGCAGAGAGGTGTGAATTACCGGAGAGGAAATGCATGGTGTCGAGTCTCCCTACGGCAGCACTTGGGGTACTGAAGCAGAGCGGGGCCATGCTGAATCAGAACCCAGACCCCCAGCAGCGGGTCGTGACAGCTCTGTCATGAAGGTCTCCCTGCGTCCTCGAAGCCCAGATGTTACCTGTACGCTGTCCCCTGCATACAGTTTTCCACCCTGAACTGCAGGTTGAATGAAAGTAAAAGGTAGCACATAGAATCCACTAGAAACCTGGGGAGCGTCCACCCTGGCCACGCCAGCTCACCTGCCTGCAGGGCACAGGCCTCCTTCAGGCATCTCTTGCCGTGCCTATGTCTCTCAGTAGTGAGCAGTGCTGCCCTCACCTGTGTCCCCAGGCTGGATCCTGAGAGTGCCCTTGCCCCTGGGCTGCCACTTCCCTGGCTCACCCTGGGCTGTGCACATGGCAGCCCAGGTGCTCCCGTGACCTGGAATTCCTGGTGCAGATGCTGCGGTGGGCTGCCTGGACTGCACTTCCTGCCTCTCCCTTTCATCAGCAGCCATGTGGGCTTCCGCGCACTGTCCAGGCCTTTGTCCTGGGCTGTGCCCCCACCAACCCATGCAGGCCTCTTGGGTATCCTGCATGTCCATCTCAGCCTCTTTGAAATAACACCCTTTCCCTTTTTTCATCTGTTCGAGACTATCAGCTTTAAGAAATACAGCATGTCCCTCCAGTGTGATTCTGGACCTTTATCAAAAATCTTCGTGTAATCAAAAGTATTGGCAATAAGTTAGAAAGACTTAGAAACGGCTCTCAATCTTTCCTACACCCAGGCTAGAGCTCCCGGAGTAAGCCTCTTCTGCCAGCACCTCTGTATCCTACTGAACGTCTGATATGGCCAGAAGAGTGACCTGGTTTTAGGTCCTAATTTTTTTTCAGTTCAGGGATTAAACCTAGGGCCTTGTACATGCTAAGCATGTGCTCTACCACTGAGCTACATGCCAGCCACAGGTCCTAGTATTTTTAACATTATTCACCAAGTACGTGGAGTAAAGCAATGCAGATCTGGAAACAGATAATGCTAAGGCCTGCAGTAGGCTGAGCTGTTAGGGCACAGAACAGCCAAGGGTGTTGAGGGAATCTGTTCTTAAATGCCGTGGGAAGCCTTTGACGGGTTTTGGTTTTTTAGTTGGCCTCAGGCCGCTGTGTGGAGTTGGAAGTGAGGGTGTGTGCAGAGGGCCTCTGCAGCCTCTGGGAGTGAGTGACCCCGGGGACTCACAGCCCCCCTGCTGTGTGAGTCCTTGGTGCGTACCTTGCCAGTGTCAAGTGTCACTGCTGTGTTGGACCTTAGAGACCATCTGTGGCCTCTGACTTAGCCTGGAGCCTGGCTGGTAGCTGGCACTCAGTGCACCTTTGTCCATAAACTCAGGGTCCAGTGACCCCTTCACACCTGTCAGTAGGCATCTCTCGTGTGGATACTAGCACCTGAGTCGCCTAGCCCTCGACAGCCCAGTTTAGGTTCCCAGGGTAGAGCCTGCCCCGAGATACCCATTTAAAAAGTTGATTGTCCTGAGTTACACTATCTCTGCCCTTGAATTTTTCCCTAATTTTCACTAGACCTGCATTCAGCGCAATGGGGCCTTCACTCCCCAGTCCGTAGACAAGAAAGATGCCCCCATGAGTCCCCTGTCCTGCCCAAAGTCTGCTGGTAGCTTGTGTAGGTCCTCCAGGAATCCTCCAAAGCTGAGAAATCCCCTGCTAAATCTCAGAGGCTGCAGCTAGCCAGGCATCCTTCCTGTGGGACAGCAGGGGCTCCCTGTGGCGTCCCCGGATGTTACAGGGGCGGGACCCATGTGGGTGTGGGGGAGCTATCCTGGGAGCCAGACGGAAGTGCTACAGGGCCTGACACGTGGACTTGGGCGGTGCTGCCTGGTGGGTGGGCCTAAGCAGGAGGCGGGAGGGCAGGGCACTGAGACAGGCTGTGCCCACACTGTCACAGCACCTCAGCCCGATGCAGCCATCCACAGACCAGGCCCACCGGGACGCCGCTGAGGATGCCCAGTGGTCCAGGTGAGGCAGGAAGGAGGAGTGGGGTGGGATGGGGTGTATCTTTAGGCAGGGAGTAGAGATACTGCCGCCTGGTGGGCAGCTCAATGGAGAGTGGGCCTGGGCCTGCCGCCTAACTGCTCTGCAGTGGGCCACCTTCATTCTCCCTCTCCCCGAGGCTGGCACACTCCTCAGTGGCGGTGGCAGCCCCAGAAAGGAAGGACACAGCGTGTGACCTGGCAGTGGCCCTCCTCCCTCTACCAAGTCCCAAAGCCTGGAAGGTGGCCCCTGAACCCTGCTGCCAGCTGGTGAACCCTGGAGGCAGGCAAGGAAGTGTGGCAGGGACCCGGCAGGGAGCACCCCCCGCAGCTGATCACAGCTACTCAGGATCACCCACAAAGACAGGCCCTGGAGCGAGCTCACTGGCAGTCTCTCTAAATAGAGGTGAGGGTGGTGGGTCACCAGACCCCTTGTATTTTGATCCCACTATTTCTGATCCCACTGCTCCATAGCAGGCTACCCCACACAAGTCAGGAATGAACTGGGGGGAGGGTCCAAATGGGAGCCTTTGCCCACTCTTGTTCCTAGACTGAGGCCCCTTCACTAAGGTGCTGGACCAGAGGCAGGGCCTGTGGGTTCCTGAGCCAGCTGTGTCCCCAGAGAACCTGCCTTGGAGGTGCTAGGAGGAGGAGAGAAGGCCCAAGGTATGGTGCCACCATTGGGTACTTGGCCAAATGAATGCACAGTAGGAGCCTTGCAAGGACAGGGCCACAGGAATGTGGGGAACCAGCAATGCCAATTAGAAGAGGAGAGCGTCCTTAGGTGTCCCCAGATGGGAGCCACTGCTGCCTCCTGCCCCACCCCGTGTTTATCCAGGTGCCTGTGCCTGGCCTGCCCGAATCCCGCAGTGTGAGCAGACTTCACTGCAGGCTGCGGGGCAGCAGCTCCAGCGCTCTCCATGTTACTTCTCCCGCTGCGTAGGCTGGGTGGCTGCAGGAACTCTAGGGCTCTGTGGACTCGAGGCCATCCACACCCTCTCACCCTTGGTAATCACAGCCCAGTGCCTTCAGCCAGTGCTACCTTCTGCACAGAGCCCTGTGGGTGGACAGGCAGGTCTCTGCCAATTGCAGGCTGGTGAGAGCCGGTGAGGATTTGGGCTGAGGTCACTTGGCCCCTGAGCCCCACACACATCCCTGCTCTGAACCAAAGACTCCATGTCCACCTGTTTGCTCAGCCATGGCTGCTTCTGAAGGCTGCCTGCAGGAAGGAGAGGCTTTGAAGGCTCCCAGGAGTGTTGCAAATGGGCGGTGGCTCCTGACAGGTGCTCCTGCCCTGGGTAAAGAAGTAAGACGGGCGTTCTGGGCCTGGGATCCAAGTCACCCCCAGCAACTGCCCTGTCTGTCCCCTGTAGCCAGACTTCCTCGCTTCGCACCCTCAGCGGCTGTGAAGGTGGTGTGTTTCTCTCCTGCCTTCGGGGCCTAGGGAGGAAGCAGGCGTGGACTGACCCATGGCTCCCATGGCTGTTCCTACCCGGGCCTTCATCAGTATGGTGGGCTGCTGGCTTCTCTTGATGTGCTGTGCCTGCCTGGGAGCCCAGGCAGCCCCTCACACTCTGCACTACGCTGGCCTTTTGGAGGAGATGGGAATCCCAGCTGGCTTCCTTGTTAACTGGCCTCCCTTACAGAGAGCAGCAGGGCCAGGCCTTTGTATGTGCGCTAAGGGAGGGGTGGCATCCTCGACAGACCCTTGACCCATTGCCGCTTTGACCACATAAAGGAATACAGATTTTTTTTTTTTTTTTTTTTTTTTTTGAGACAAGGCCTCGCTATGTAATCCAGACTGATCTTGAACTCACTACGTAGCTGGTGATCCTCCTGCCTCAGCATCCCAAGTGCTGGGATTGCAGGCATGCACCACCATGCCTGGCTACAGCTCCTTTCTAAAGGCACCTTTGGACCCTGTGGCTTTCATTAGGAGTTATAAGAGTCACTCCCACGCCCCTGCTGTGACCCCATGCAGCCGAGCCCAGGAACAGCAAATTCCTCTTGACGGCTCTGGAGGCCAGGCAGGGCTGTAGAACAGGGCTGGGCAGGCTGGCTGGGTGGTGGCAGTTTGGGCTGTCACCCTGTGTCCACAGTAAACCAGTGGCAGTGTTTGCTTAGGCAGTGTCCCAACAGGATGGGAGACAGGAGCCAGGTGCGGCCTGGGGGCTTTGGCAGGCAAGGTTTTGTCAAAGTCAAGGGCGGGGCCCAGAGAAGACTTGGGCACCTGAGGCTGAGTGGTTCGAGCCACTCCCAGAGAGCAGTCCTGGGTCCCATGTTATGTTCAGACTGGAGAAGGAAGGCTCAGTTCCTGGGGAACTGAGGCAGAACCAGGGTGGACTTCACACACACACACACACACACACACAGTCCCAGCTTAAGAGTCAGAGCTGTGCATCAATCAGTGAGGTTGCAGTTTCCTCTACAGGGCTGAGAATGATGGGTCCTTGCTGGCTAGAGGGACACCATACCCTGCCGGCACTGTCACCTCTGATTCCATCGAAATGGCTAGCATTTGGGGACCCCAGGCCCTGAGAGGCAGGGAGCTCTGAGTCCACCTCCCACGAGGCATAGCATGCTTAGCCCAGAAGCAGGCAGCCCACTACAACCATGCGGAGTGAGCTCGGAGCCTTCTTCCAAGGACTGGGCTACCCGAGTGTGTGTCAAAACACTTGGCCCTTCGTGGCCCCATTGAGGGAGGAGGCCCCTTGCTAACCCACTCCTCAGGTTCTAGACAGAGCAGGCACCACCCTAGGAGGCTGTCAGAGCCCAGACCTCTGGGTCTCTGATCTCCCCTGGGACAGGTTCTCGAGAAGGTACCGGAGCTCTCAGGGTGGGGTGGCCTTGCCAGGACCAGCTTACTAATGTCAGCCCATGGCTGGATGCCTGCCCACACATCTGCCCATTTAACCTCTCATTCCTCTGGCATGGCCTCAGCACCACCAGGCCAGACCAGCCCTGGGGGTCATGGGGTGTAACTCTGCAAGGTCCCACCGTGTCCACCACCTGTCTCACATTCTACTTTCTCCTGAGAGCTGCCCTTTGGGGTCCATACTGCATTCCCCCTCCGGACATCCTGTCACTGGCACTTTGGGTTCCTGGTTTGTGGCTTGAAGCTCTGGCAGGTGCTGCCATCTTCGTGGTGACTGCTGCTCCTGTGAGCCATTCATCTGCACTCTGGTCTCCATCGTGCTGGCCTGTGGCTCTGTTCTCCACTCAGGCTCCGGCACTCACACCTTGACCCCTGTGACTCAGCAGGGCCCGGGGCTCAGCTGGTCCCTGCAGCATGGTTCCTTTTGGCTCTGCACCCACCTCCTGAGGTCAGGGACCTCGTGGCTGCAGCCCTGTCCTCTGACCTCCTACGCAGCCCTGTCAGACTGCCCTCCCTCCTGCTTCGTAGCTGGTCTGACTTAGACCTGTGGTTGGCACCTGCCTCCCCAGGGGCCCCTACTTGTTGCATCTCCCACCACGTGGACTGTGCTGAATCTCTCCTTTTTAATTTTTTTTAATTTAAAAAACTGAACTGTGTGTTTCAGAATCATTGTGAAGACGGTACACAGCGTTTCTGAACACCCACCCTGTGTTCCTCATTAACGTCTTCAATGAGTAGAACTTGCACCATGGATAAGGGCACTGCTGCATCATTATCAACCCAGGCCACTGGCCTGGGCTCTCTCCGCGGCTCCCAGGGTCCTGTCTAGACCCCACCTGGCGTTTAGTGGTCACATCTCCAGGGCTGCTGTTCAGCTTCCCCAGTGTCCTGGCTGCTGCTGTCGTGACAGTCCCCAGAGGCCCTACTGGGCCTCTGCTGTGCCCCTGCTGGGTCTGGGTGTCCTCGTGGTTGTCCTGGGGCAGTGGGTCCTCCCAGAGACATGCTGCTCACCCCATGGTATGCCAGTTTCTGAAATCAGTGCTGTGGAATAAAGGGTTCACTATGCACCAAAGCTTGAGGTGGGAGAGCGAGACTGTGTCTGCCTCCCCAGGACAGGGCTTGCGGGTATTAATGGGCAGAGGTACAGGGAGAGGTGACTGGGAGTTAGGAAGTCACAGTGGGTCTGTGCTCACCTAATCAGGTCCATCATCATTGCCGCCTGCCCTCACATCCATGGCATCTCTGCCTCCAAAACTGGTTATTTCTAAAGTCAACCGAAAGCGTGACTCAGAGTTAGTAGAGTGGGTGCTTAGGTTTTCCCTGTGGACCGGCAGGGCCAATGTCAGCCTAAGATGCCTTGACAGTTAAGAAAAGCAAATGAGAAGCCCTCCACGTGCCCCTGACTCTGCTAACACCCAGTCACCCAAGCCCCCAGGTCCCCACCCCGCTTTCCCACCCCGAGCCTGCCACAGAGCTAAGTCCATCAGTCCCCTGAGCAGTGGCCCGAGAATGCCACCCAGCTTCCGAGGTCAGTGCCAGCAGGGTTAGCCTGGTACCTCCCACTGGACCACAGGACTCAAACCCTCCTTGCACTGCTCTGGAGTCTGCTGGCGTCCTGCCTCTCGCCTCCTTGGGCCTCTTCTTGGTCCCTTTTTTATTTGGCTCTGGTCATTTCAGGCCCTCGGGATTTGGTGCTAACCTTGCCCCCAAGGACAGGAGAACAGGAAAGGAGATACGGGCAGGGTGTTGGGCCTGGGCACAGTGACAGCTGAAACTGCAGGGCGGATGTCTGCAGGCTCTGTCCTGTGGATGCCTGGATCCCTGGCAGGGTTGGTCACTTGTTAGTCCCTGAACTAGTTAGCACTTAGTTTTGTGCTGAGCCAGGAAGCAGAGGGTGAGAACAGGCCAAGAACTCAAGGCCAGAGCCACAGGATGGACCCACAGCACGCCTGGGCAGGGCTGGCACACTAGAGGTGTCTGCGGCTCCATGAGTGTGTCACCCCAGGGGGTATGGCTGTCCCTAGTGCCACACCTCAGGGTTCCAGGACTTCTCCCAAAGGAAGCTGCAGCAAGGGGTCAGCTGTCCATGTGTCCTTCATTGGCCTTTTTTTTTGTTTTACTTTTTGTGAGATGGGGACTCACTAAGCAGTTCAGGCCAGCCTTAAACTCATTATATAGCCAAGGCTGACCTTGAACTCCCAGAAATCTTCCTGCCTCAGCCTCCTGAATTCTGAGATTGCAAGCAGCACCACCACACTCTCCCTCTATCCTTGGCGCTTCTTCAGCTCCGAAATGAGTGTACCAGGGCGTGAGGGCTGCCATTCCAACCCAACAAGGCTTCTCTGTAGTTTGAATGGTGATCAGTGCACGTGCACATAACTGGCTGTGGGGCCCGAGGCCGGAGGTCAGGGAGGCTGCCATGCCAGCCACCTTCCTGGGCCCCCTCCTTTCCCTCCTGTGCACATGAGCTGCGCCCCTGTGCCCATCCAACCCGAGACAGCCCAGCCGGGAAGAGGCAGAGGGACCTATCCCAAGCCATCCCAAGAGGCTGGGATTGGTGTCTGGCTTGAACGATTGTTCACTCTGCCATTTTTGGCTTTTGGGGGGTTTTGTTACCACCCTGTGGAGATGAGAGACTTTATTTTAAATAGCTCCAAGCTTACCCACCAGTTTGATTGACCTCAGTGCCTTGCTGCCCACCACTAGGCTTCGGTGGAGGAGGAGGGTCCTAGGGTCCTGGGCCCACGCTGTTGGTTGGCTTCTATCCCTCATGGCCTTCAGCAGCCACAGAAACCACATAGCAGCACGAGGAGCCAAACCTGGGAGCTGCCCCTCCCTAGGTCCTCCAAGGTCCCTCTGCCCTGTCCTATCCTGGCCCCGGGTCCCATCTGCTCCACGGACTTCTGCTGCAAAGACTTGATGGCCTTTCTTAGGTCCCCTCGTCACTCCTGGACCCTCCTGCTGCACCTGACCCTGGCCACCAGTAGACCCGCTCTGCTGTGACCTCTCAGGGTGGTGAGCGATCAGTTCCACCTGCCTTCCCGCCTGGGGCAGCTTGAGAGTGTGGGCACTGCAGGGCCTGTCTTCAGGGTGGGCTCCGGCTACAGTCCCAGCTGCGTGCAGCCCCTGCCCTGGCTCTGGGTTCCTGTGCGGGTTCTGTTGTTCACTTAACCTGCTGCTGCCACCAGTGTCCTATCTGTTTCTAGCCTCTGCTGTCACCTCCAGTACCTGCCTATGTTCTCCAGGGGTCACAAAATGAATGTCAAAGAGCTGAGCCCTTCAGGGTCACGCGTGTGGCCCCATCCCCTGAGGTTTCTCAGTAGGCCCCTCCAGGGCCTGACCCTCCCCTCTCCTCCACAGGCCTGAGTGCCAGGTGTGGACGGGGACCCTGCTGCTGGGCACCTGCCTGCTGTACTGTGTGCGAGTTTCCATGCCCGTGTGCACGGTTGCCATGAGCCAAGATTTTGGCTGGAACAAGAAGGAGGCTGGCGTCGTGCTCAGCAGCTTCTTCTGGGGCTACTGCCTGACACAGGTGGTGGGAGGCCACCTCGGGGACCGGTGAGTGGCCACCCCCAAGTCCCACTGCCCAGCTCATGGGGGGAGCACCTCCAGGTGTGCTCTGGGTGGGCTCTTCCTCTGCAGGTGCGGTGGCGACTGCCCACCAGGAGGGCCAATCCAAGCAGGAGCAGTGCCCCTGGCCTCCCAAGCAGCCACTGTCCCGTCCCTGTCTCCCCCAGCATCGGCGGTGAGAGGGTCATCCTGCTGTCGGCCTCCGCCTGGGGCTTCCTCACTGTCACCACCCCGGTGCTCGCTCACCTCAGCAGCGCCCATCTGGCCTCCATGGCCTTCTTGCGTGTTCTCACCGGTCTGCTCCAAGGTGAGGGCCCTCAGGTCACCTCCCTCGTGCTTCTGGCTTTGACCCTGGCACCTGGTGGGGTGTGCAGGGAGCGAGTGTGCACACGTGTGCCTGCCTGCCACCCTCTGCCTGCAGTCTGCCCGGGAGCTGTGTAATAGGGGGTGGGGATGATGGGGTGCCCTCTGTTTCCACTGGGTTACCCACAGCAGCAGGCACACTGCAGCTTTCCTGCACTGTGAGCATTGGCCCTCTGGAGAGACCCCAGCCCCCGAGGGGCAGGTGGCTGGCCTCGGCCCTTAAGGAACTGTCCCTCTTGCCTTGGAGCAGTCAGAAGACACTGGGTTCTGGGAGGGACCCGAGCAGACCATCCATCCCTATGTTGCCTTCATGGATAAATATCATGCAGATGCAAGCTCGATGCCCTGTGGACCCGGGATGTGGGTTTCTTAAATTATTTTGATCATGCTCGGGGGTCCCCCAGAGCTCTTCCAAGGATGGGGTTCTAGAACCCTCTAGAATGAGAAGACATGGGGTCATTCCCAAACTTTTAGGCTGCTGAGGAACCCACTGTCCAAAAGAAATTCTAGGAGGGACTCCATGTATCAAAGTAGAGTTCATGGCCCCTGCCCTGGGGCAGGCATGCATCTGCACGTGAACACACAGTTGGGGGTTATTTGCAGACCCCAGGCCTGGCGCAGAGGCTGGGGTGCACTGCGTCTGCACAGGGGCCTGGGGGCAGCCTGGGAGCTGGTGTGTGGGAAGGGAAATTTGCCGGCGGGGACACTGTCCTTGTGGTGCCACCTCGCACAGCTTTCGCCCAAATTGAGTTCGCTCCTCAGCCAAGTGTCACTTAAAGCCCAGCCCTGCTGGTCCCTGGAGTAGGTGGGCTGACATGAGGCATGCATGGACCTTCCCGGCTCATAGACCTTGCCTGAGCAGGAGGCCAGGCCCTGGCTGTCAGGGCGGCTCTCGCTGGGTGCTCGGGTCACCGCGATACTCTGTTTGTTCCAGGCGTGTACTTCCCGGCCCTGACCAGCCTGCTGTCACAGCGTGTGCCCGAGAGCGAGCGGGCCTTCACCTACAGCACTGTGGGGGCCGGCTCTCAGTGTGGGTAAGGCCCAGCCTGGGAGGGTGGGAGAGGCCGTGGGGTGGGCCCTGAGGAGCAGCCTGAGGGGCCAGCAGGGGTGGGCTTCGGCCAGGTCTCTGGGTGCCCCCAGGGCCTGTGCGGCGTATCTGCTGTCTCTGCCTACCCCACAGCCACAGGTGATGTGGGCTGCTGGGGCCTTGGCGTGCAGGTTGGGCCGCAGCTGCTTCACACAGTTCCCTCTCATCTGTGCCAGTGGAACCCAAGGCCACACAACCCTCAGCAGCCCATCCCCAGCCGAGACTCTGCAGCCTTGAGCCTGGTGCCCTCCAACTAGCCTTTCCCAGGCCGCCCTTGGGGAGCACCAGGCCTCACTGTGCCCCTACTCCACCACTGGTGGGGCCGGAAGGCTGCTTGCTGCTGCTTCAGGTGGACTCGTGTGAGGGGAGACAGGAGCGCTCTGGCCAGGATCAGGCACCCGATTAGGTCAGCCAGAGCAGGAATCAGAACAGCAGAATGGGCAGCGAGTGGCCCTTGGGCAGGAGCAGGGTGACTCCATTTAGCAATAAAAATACAGCACACGAAGTGAAGCATGCCTGTCAGGTCACTAGGAGCTGAGCTCCCAGCTGCCAGCCTGGGTCGTCTGCACTCCCCCCACCTCCGGGGTCCTGTGGCTCATCGAGCCATGGATCACAGAGCAGAGGAGGCTCTGTGTGGAGCCCCGAGGGGCAGGGGCAGCACTCCCCGCCCCAGGTCTGTGCTGCCCCACAGCTGGGGGCTCAAGGGAGGGGGAGGCTTGGCCTCGGCCCCAGTACACGCCGTTCTTGCACTTTGCCATGGCAGTGACTGTTCCTTGGTCCTGCAGTCCCAGCAGGAGGTGGAGTGCCCTGGGGGATTCAGGACCCTCAGGACAGGGGGAGGTGGGGGGCTATTGGGCTGCTGGGGTGTCGAGTTTGAGCATAGGGGTTGTTCTGAAGTTTTGTCCTCTATGGCTCATGTAGAAAGAAAATCTAAATACACAGATTTTACTTCCTTGTTTAAGTCACTTTTCCTTCTTTTGTTTTTCACTCAAAAAAACTACATGACAGGGGCTGGGGATTTAGCTCAGTGGCATAAGCACCTGCCTTGCAAGCAGGTGGTCGTGAGTTCGATCCCTGGTACCGGAAAAACAACAACAACAACAAAAAACTACATGACAATTTGTGGACCAATCTGGAGACCTAAAAGCAAGAAGTTAGACACAATTTGGATCACAGAGCAGCATCCCTGCCTGCTGCCCCCAAGGCTGATCCCAAACCCCCATGGTAGAAAAACCCCTCCTGAACCCCGTGAATCCTCAGTAAATGGCTGGGACAGAGACTTCCAGGCAGCTGCTTCAGGGCGATGAAGACACACCCTTTCTTTGGGGCTCTGCTCGTAGCAGACCACTGGGGGGTCTCCTTGCTGGTGGAGAGGCGGTGAGGGTCACAGCCACCTCCTCCCTGCCCTCTAGGACGCTGCTGACAGGCGCCGTGGGCTCCTTGCTCCTGGACTGGGGCGGCTGGCAGAGCGTCTTCTACTTCTCGGGCGGCCTCACCTTGCTCTGGGTGTGTTATGTGCACAGGTACCTGCTGAAAGGAAAAGGTAACTGGAGTCGCTCAGGCTGGTCCTGGAGCGTCCTCCCCTGTAGGCGCCAGCAAGCACGCAGGGCAGAGCCGCTCCGCAGGGCCCGGGGGCTGTGGCTGTGCTTAGTTCAGAGGCATCCTCAAGGCTGCAGCCTGAGAAAAACCATCCAAGTGCAGAGCTCACAGCCCACACTGCGGAGGGATTCAATCCACAAACCCCCCTGCTTGGGGCTAAGCAGGCAGGAGGCTGGCAGGTAAAGGCCAGAGGCAAGGCAGCTGGACCTCAGGAGGCCAGAAGGGGCTGGTCCTACGGGTGATGCAGTTGTCAGGGCCTGTTAGTTAGAGGAGCAGTGAGGAGCACCCCTACACTGGGACTGGGGTCAGGAGTGGGCCCTGGTGTCACCTCATCCTCAGAGCTGTTGCTTTGAACACACTGTTCCCTCAGACCGAAGCCTGGCCCTGGGTGTCCTGATGCAAGGCCTGCCCCTGGCCAGGCCCTCCAAGGTGCCCTGGAGACAGCTCTTCCGGAAGCCTTCTGTCTGGTGAGCCGGCACTGGAGGGGCCCCGGGGCATGGGACTTTGGTGGCCAAGGGGAAGGGGCGGGTAAGTCCCACAGGCACCCCAGGCGTAGGGTGCTTGGGGCCAGGATCCCTGACCCTGGTCCCCGCACAGGGCGGTCATCTGCTCTCAGCTGTCTTCGGCGTGTTCCTTCTTCATCCTCCTGTCGTGGCTGCCCACCTTCTTCAAGGAGACCTTCCCCCACTCCAAGGTGTGTCAGCAGCCAGGGCTCACCCCGCTCCCGGAGAGCCGGACTACGGGAGTCCCAAGGTCCCCACATGCAGCTGCAGGAGCCTATGGCTCTGTGGCAGGTTTGACACCCCCTGGCCCACTGCTTCTGGGTGACTTTGTTCACACTCAGCAGCGGGTGTTGGCTCGGAGGTCTTGGGCTCTTCCTGTGAGTCTGCAGCTGTCCCTGCCTGGGTCCTCACCTGCCTGGCACAGCCTGGCCCTTGGCCTGGGCGGCATCTTCTGAGGCCATCCCTGAGAAGGACCACAGCATGGCTGGGTGTGCGCAGCAGGTCATTTGTCTTGGGCCTGCTCTTCTGCCTGGGCAGGCAGGCAGCCTCCCTAGTTTGGAGGCTGGAACCTTCACAGCTGTGTGTGTTCCTGGGGCAGACACTGCCTGGCTCCAGCCCTGTCCAGTCATGCTGTGGGAGGGGTCATGGGGACTCGGGCTGCCACAGCCACGGCGGAGCTGGCAGTCACGAGGGGCAGTGAAGGTCCAGGTGGCCGTGGCCTGCAGAGCCTGTCCTCCCCGGCTCCTTCTGCCCTTGGGTAAGCCAGTGGGCAGCGGATCCCGGGCAGCAGTGGACTGGGGTGCAGGTCCTGTCCACATGTCCCTGCCTCCACGGCCACCTCTGAACCAAGCTCCTTCTTGCAGGGCTGGGTCTTCAATGTGGTACCCTGGCTGGCTGCGATTCCCGCCAGTCTATTCGGCGGGTTCCTTTCTGACCATCTTATCAGTCGGGGTGAGTGTTGGAGAGCTGTGCCCACCCAGAGGCCATGCTGGACAGAGAGGGCCCGAGCCTTGGAGCCAGCTCAGGGAGTAGGGGGTGGGGTGGGTCCTTCTTCCTGGGGCTCAGGCTCCTCGATAAAGGGTGGGGTAAATGCAGTATGAGGATGCTGGGCTCATGGATGGCTTGCAGGCCTCCCCTGCGCCTCTGCGGGAGAGGAGGAGCCCACGGAAGTCAGAGGTCAAAAGTGCCCAGATTTGTGCTTGAACCCCCTAGAGTCCCCAAGTGGGAGGTGCCTCGTGCTCAGCTGTTAATTCCCCACACACTTGCAGCAGCACACAGCACCCAGGGTGAAGCCCTTGGACCCAACACAGCCGTGCGAGGCAGGCACAGCACCAGCACCAGTCACCCCAAGCCTGAGAAAGGCTGAGGATTGAAAGTTTGAGTCCCACTTAGCAACTTAGGTAGACGCTGTCATAAAATAGAAAATCAAAGGTTTGGGCTGCCGCTCAGTGGCAGAGGCCCCTGGATCCCATCCCCAGCAGCAAGAAAGCAAGCAAGCAGGCAAAGGGAGCTAGGCGTGGGGGCACACACCTGTAATCCCAGCACTCAGGAGGCTGAGGCAGGAGGGTCGTTGCAAGTTGCAAGCTAGCGTGGGCTACACAGTCAGTTCAAGGGCAGTTTTTTTTTTTTTTTTTTGTCTTTTTCCTTTTTATCAGTACCGGGGATTGAACTCACGACTGCCTGCTTGCAAGGCAAGTGCTTATGCTGCTGAGCTAAATCCCCAGCCCCCTCAAGGGCAGTTTGAACTGCATAATGAGACCCTGTCTCAGAAAGACAAAAAAAAAGAAAAAAGGAATAATAGCATTCTTTGTGGAAGAAGCAAAAGACTCAAAGACAGAGAAAGAGGACTTGTGGTCGCACCTTGGAGACTATCACACGCTTACCCTTCTTACCTTTCTACCTCGGAGATCCTCTAAAGTAACACACTGTGTGCAGGGCCAGCTCACCCACGGCAAGAGACACCCATCTTGAGCCTCAAGCCTGGGCCCTGTCCTGCTTCCTCCCCGCCTGCCCCTGTGGCTGTGCAGGTGGCAGCCTTCCTGGGGACACTGTCAGGGGCTAATGGGAACCACCCTGGCTCTGTCTCCCTGCTCAGGTTACAGAGCCATCACTGTGCGGAAGTTCATGCAGGTAGGAAAATCGTTCCAGGTTTTCTCGAGACATCCCTGTTTTGTCCTGGTGTCCTGGGACCCATGGGTTTGCTCTCAAATCACCTAATCTGGGGGACCAGGCCAAGGTCAAGGTTGTGAGCCCAGGAAGCTGCAACTGCAGGAGACAGCAGCTCTGTGACCTTGGAGCGGGGCCTCTTCACAGGCACAGCAAAGTCTTCTGAGGATGAGCACCAAAGGCTGAGCTGCTCAGGCTCCTTTAGAGGGGCGTCTGAGGGTGTGCTGGGGCCAGGGTGGCCGTGTGGGTGGCAAAGTCCCCTGAGCCTTAGACACGGCTCTCTGTGCCCTGCTGGGCCTCTCCCTCCAGCTCCATGAGCCCAGCTCATCTGTGGGGTTCTCGTTCCCTGTGTCCTCTGGGGAGGCCTCAGCCCTGGAGCAGTCACTGAGTGCAGCTGGGTGGCTGCGGGCTGGGGCTGAGCTGGGCTTCCTCAGCCCTCTCCCCCACAGTCAATGGGCCTTGGCCTGTCAAGCTTCTTCGCACTGTGTCTGGGTCACACGTCCAGCTTTCTCAAGGCTATGGTCTTCGCATCAGCTTCCATTGGCCTCCAGACCTTCAACCACAGGTAAAGGCCCTTGCCCCATGCACTTGTGTTGCCGGGTGCCCCAGGCTTTGGTGGACCACGGCCCAGGGGCCCTTGAGTGGTCCTGTGAGCAGTCACTCAGCCCAGCCAATCTGGGTATCCAGCTGGTGCAACCCAGCCCTGCATACCAAGAGCTCCCAAGGGAGGGCAGGAGCGGGGTGCTGAGGGAACGTAGACCACTGCTGGCCGGGGTGGGAGGGCAGAGGCTCACCACTGGACAGTAGTCTCAATGCCCCTGGGCACTGTGAGCCTGCCGTCCGAGCCTCTCCACGTCTTTCCTCTGATCCTGCACCTTCCAAGCTGAGCGCCAGCAGCCACAGCTCATTATCTCGGGGACTGGCTTTAGGGACTGGTAGTGCAGGGTCTTCGGATCGGCCAGCAGTGAGTGGTCTGCGTGCGTGCTGCACACGTGCTCTCCCCGCCTCTTGTCTTTCCAGTCCTGCTCCCGTTGTGAGTGGGGAAGAGCTGAGTGTGGGCACCGTGTGTCCTCCGGGGGCTTGGTACCCTCTCCCTTGCACTGCCAGCTCTTTCTGGCTGTGCAGGGTCATGACGCCCCTCACCGCCTTCTCTCCCATTTCTCCCAGTGGGATTTCTGTTAACATCCAGGACCTGGCCCCGTCCTGTGCTGGCTTTCTGTTTGGTGAGGATGCTGCTCAGCCCAGGCGTGGCCAGCGGGGCTGCCCTGGCGGGCGGGCAGTGAGTGCCACAGTAGGCACCCTCTGATGTTCTTGTTTTCTCCCTGACCTGTTCACAGGTGTGGCCAACACTGCAGGGGCCTTGGCAGGTGAGAGGTGGGCTTCTGTGCCCAGGTGTCCCTGCCCTTTGGGTTGGACCCACAAAGGAACTAGCTAGGTGGGTGGGGGCCCACATGCCCACCTAGCTCCCCTGGTCCTGTGGGTGACATGTGGCACACTTGGAGCTATCCCTGCATCAGCAGAGAGTACAACCCCACACAGTGGCCTTCTGTGTGGCCAATGGTAGGGAAGCCAGGTGGAAGTCAGACCCAGGAGGCTTGGGGGCCCTGGACTCTGCTCCCTGCCTCCTTTGAGGGCTGGATCACTGGCTCGCTCTGTACCTCAGTCCCTCCTGCCACCCATCGCTGGGTCTCCCTTTGGAGGGGTACAGGTGGAGGGACCCATTTGGGGATTTCCTGTGGCCTGTGAGCTTCTTGCCTCTGAAACCTTGGGAGTCTGAGTTCGGCCCTCCCTTGGCCCAGTGATGCAGAAGTCCGAATTCACCTTTTGGGCCCATTTGCCCCACTTCCTCTCTGGCCCTGTGCTGGAGCTCTGGGTGGGCACTCAGCCTGCCTGTGCCTGTCCTCGTCCAGGTGTGGTGGGCGTGTGCCTGGGAGGCTACCTGATAGAGGCCATGGGATCCTGGACGTGTGTGTTCAACCTGGTGGCCATCATCAGCAATCTGGGGCTGGGCACCTTCCTGGTGTTCGGCCAGGCTGAGAGGGTGGACCTCAGCCCTGCCCGTGAGGACCTCTAGCTTCTGACCTGCCAGCCCCAAAGGGCCCTAGTGCCCACACTCTGGGGACAACGCACTCCATTGAGGAGACTCAATTGCTTTGGACCTCAGAAGTTGAGGCAGAGGATGAAGACCAGTTAGGTGGCTCCCAAGGGACCCGAGGAGCTGAGGTGGACCCAGGGCCGAGAAAGCCTGAAGCTAGACCAGGCTCACTGCCTCTCAGTCCCCACAGCGGGGAAGTCCTGCCCTCCTCACAGGCAGCGTGGCTGCAGCCTGCAGCTGACCACCTGCGGGGACGTGCACCTGTCAGTGCAGCAGCCATGGGGCAGGCTGAACCTCTGCTGGGCCTCATTTCTCCAGTGGGCATCCTCCGTAGTGGGGGCCGCACTTTGTGCTGTGGAGCATTTGGCTGGAGCCTGGCAGCCCAGATTTCCACCAGTACAGCCACCAGTACAGTCGCTCCTTCCTACATCCTTGCCTCCGTTCATGACCATCAGAAAGGCGTGGGGACACTGTCCAGTGTCTGGACATCAGAGCCATTGTGCTATAAAGGCCTCGGTCCTGCCTCTCCCTGCAGCCAGGCTGCCACCCCAGGCAGAAGCCCATAACCACCACATCAAGATGCCCCTCACAGCCCGAGGCTCTCCCATCCTGTGGGCCCCTGGGCACTACTGAGGTATCCTAGGCCCACGGACCTCTGGGGCCTCCCCAGGGCACTACCTGGACACCCCCTGGGAGTGTGTCAGGGCCCCCAGTGCGAGGTGAACCCTTCTTCCCAGCCAAGCTTTCTACCTCCCATTTGGTACCCGAGGAGGAGCTGGTGATTTCATGAAGTAGCTGACTGTGCAGGCGGAATACGTATAGGGAGAGAAAGAACTATAAAAACATGGAAAGTCACACCAAAACTTTTTAAATAATTATCAAAATATTTTAAAAGAAGATTTCTATTTTTAAGGCTTGAATAAAACCAGAAGGTTTGTACTACCCCCTCAGCACTTTTCTGTTTCAATACTCTGAGGTTCATTCTCACCTGGCTGGGCTGGAACTTGCGATCCTCCCGTGGCTCCCAGAGGGCTAGGGTTATAGGTCAGGACACCATGCCTGGTAAGGCTTTTGCTTTTTAAGAATAAATGTGTGTTAAAGTGTGTATCCCATCCATGATAAAACCAGCAGGAGTCAGAACTGGGTCACAGGAGAATCCCTACCTCAGGGACACTAGGGTCCTGTCATGGCCACTGTTGCTGGCCGGTCCCCCTCCACAGAGACATTTGCCTCCCTGTATAACAGCCCTGCCAGCTGTGTATACAGCTTTCTAGAGCCAGGTGGTGCCCTGGAACCAGACAACCCGTGCACCGTAACGGGACAGGAATCATTTTTCATGTAAGCACACATTTTCCCCATGGTCTCAAGTTTTGATCAAAAGCAATCTTGAAAGATGCATTTGGTCAGGAAAGGAGCCTGGCCTGGGGGGCAGCCCTGACCTCCAGTGCAGCACACGCTGGCCCTGCTGGGGGCTTCACACGTGTAGTCCCACGCTTTAAGGAGTTTGCTGCTGCACCCTCCAGGGGTGCAGGACTGCCTCTCCATACCAGCTCCTTCCCTGTCCCTTGTAGCAAAACACACAGGAGGTAACCCTTGGCATCTTAACGGTGTGTGAGGAGAGGTTCAGCTGCACGGAGCACGTTTACATTGTGCAACATCGCCACATCTACCCACAGAACTTTGTCATCTTGCAAAACACATTCCTGTTAACTATTAATCCCCACCCCCAGCCCAGGACCTCCTGTTCTACTTTGCATCTATAAACCTGACTCCTTCAGGGACCTCGGAGAAGTGAGCAAATGTCACAGGCTGTCCCTTTCTTTGCCTCCACATAAGGTCCTCATGTTCATCTGTGTCATAACAAGTGTCAGGATTCCCTTCCTTCTCAAGGCTGCATGCTGCTCCACTGCATGGATCGGCCATGTTTCTTACCCATCTGTCCACCCGCTGGTGCACATCTGGTTGCTTCCCCCTCTGGGCTCTTGGGAACCATGCTGGGAGCATGTGGGTGCGCAATGGGTGCCTCTGTCTTTCGCCCACAGTCACGTGTGATGTCTTTGAGTCTGAGAGGAAGCAGCCTTCTCCCAGGGCTCCCTGTCCCCCCTGAAGCCATGCAGGGTGCTGCACGTGAGTGGGCCCTGTGGGACACACCCGGGACCTCAGACTTCCGTGTCCCCTGCTGAGGCTCCCATAGCAACTGGGCCCAGGCCTCCAGACCTGCACGTGTCCTCCTTCTGTCATTTCCTTAAGAGCAAAGGCTGGGAGGACATTTTGGCAAGGGTTTGGGGCATAGGCTGAGGTGCAGCAGGCCCAGTGTCCCCCTCACACTCCTCTTCCACGACTATCACCCTAGACCTGGGCCCTGCCTGAAGGGGCAGCTGGCAGAGAGGGACAAGCTGGTGCCTGGCACCAGCAGGCCATGGTCTGCGTATCTGTTATCTGCAGCAGACAGTCCCACACTCTGCCTCGCCCCGTGGAGCAGCTCTGCAGGCTGGGAGAGGACCCAGCGCGGTCCCAGGTCTGGGACAAGATCTGGGACCAGCCCTGCAGAGTGGCAATTCGATGGCGGCTGCCCACCTTCGCAGGGGTCCTGACCGCTGCCTCCAGCTCAATCCCAGGCCCTGAGAGCAGCTGCTGGGCAAGAGTCTGTGTCTGTATGAGGGTGGCTGCTGGGCGGGGCGGGGTGGGGCAGCGAGGCAGCAAATTGCAAGGTCTGAGTATGAGCCAAGAGGGTCTGAGCAGTGTCTGCAGCCTCTGGTATGAACGGTGAGGGACAGCTTGGGCCACCTTCTAAGGCCAGTGTGGGTCTGACGGGCCAGGAGCTCCGCTCCCAGCCCAGTACCAGGCACAGAGCCGGCTGGGCATTGTTTGGGGCCGGCCACCCTGCCCCTCAGTGAGGCTCTTCCGGGGCCAGTACCTGCGGGCCCCAAGTTCCGATTTCCGGGGCTGGGTTTACACAGCCCTGCAGTGGTTTTGGGGGGGGTGGCAGCCAGGACCTCCCGGGTAAGGACGGGGACTTGCGCTGTGTCATCTCTCTACCAGGCCTGGGCCCCCAAAACCGCTTCTCTGTGCCCTGCTCCCTGGAAGCGGGGGCTGTGTGAACTAGCGTGGGTCTGAGTGTGCAGCGAGGGACACACTCGCACGCCCAGTGCTGGTGCGCACCTGCAGCGGTCTGCTCGCGCCTGCGCAGCCCCGACCTTCAGGCCTGGCCGCTGCCTTGCCCGCTGCGGCCGACAGAGGGCGCCAGGGGACAGGGCTGAGCTCGGTGCTCCGAGGAGATCGATGGTTAGAGCCTTCTCCGTGGACGGCGGGCGTGACAGCAGGGCACAGTCTCTCCTGGTGGCGTTGGGGTGGACGCCGGGAGAGGCCTGCCCTGGCCCTTTGCCTTCTCACGGGCTGGTGGAGTACAGGACGGGTGTGGGGTGTTTCCGGGCCCACGTGTAGCCAGAGGATCCCTCCCCTCCTCTCTGGGGTCACTTCGGTGCCCCTCCTGTGGTCCAGCAGGGCTTGGACACGTGTTTCTGCTCCTGCTGTACAGAGAAGGTGAGAAAGCTGCAGCCAACTTCGGCAGGAATCGCCCACTGTGGAGGCCTTGGTCTGTTCCTGGGAAGCGAGGCTTCTTGGAAGGCATGGCTGCTGCAGGCTCCTGAGACACAAGAAGCCAGGCAACGCCAGGGTGGTGGCCGAGTCCTGCAGCGCCTCACTGCCTCGCACTCCGTCCACCCCGCAGGACTTCACATGAAGACTGGCATGGTGCGGTCTCTGGGAGTCTAAAGCATTTGTTGTTAGGACGACAGTGTTCCAGGGTGAAATAACAAGGGGGGGGGGTTAGCCTCTGGCCTTGCCGTGGGCCCTGCTGGAGCCTCTCTGGTCCTTACTGGTATCTCTGGGTATCCCCGAGCCCTCTGCCCCAGGCCAATACCTCCCTCCAGAGCTGAGGCTGTGCCCAACCCAGCCTGCTGGGCCCCGTCAGATAGAAATATCGAAGGCAGTCAGACAGGGCTGGGCCCTTGAAGGAGCCACTGCAGAAGAAGGGATCCATTGCAACGGTGGGGGAGGCCCAGCCACCTCCACCTCCCCTGAGGGCCAGGTCTCAGCACGAAAGATGAAATAAATGCACCTGCATCCTTCCCCTAAGGATAAACATCTGGGACTGACACTCTAACAGGAATCCATCACCTTGAGGAAGCCAGGAAGAGCACTGACCCAGCTCCCTACAGGAAGAGTTGCTGGTCTTTCACGCCTTCTTGCTGCCTGACTTGCTTCCCCATTCGATCCCCATTTAATCAGTTTTACCTGAGCAGTTATGTTTGCAATCTTATCTATTAACCATAGTTTTGTCCCACCTCCTGCCCACCTTGCAATTTCCCATTTTTCCCCACCTTTGACCCACCTCACCTCATGGGTTTGCTCTATAAAAATCCCTACAAAGGCTGGGTCCTTGGCATCCTGCTCGGGACTCCTTCTGACTCTCTCTTGGACAAAAGCTTTCTTTCCCCCAATCAATATATTCTAAAATTCACTCTTCAATTTTAGAGAACACGAACTCGTACCAGACATGCAGCGGGTCGGGAGTTTCTTTCCCCCGTGTCCCTAAGTCCCGGGCAGCCCCCATGTAGGACTCTCCGTGCACCCATCGTTTCGGGCTCCTGGGCGGGGTCGTTCCCTCCCATCGCTGAGCAACGCCCTCTGCCTCTTCTCCTGGGCGGGATCTTCAGTGGCCACCTGTGAATCAGCAGTACTTCAGGGCCCTCCGCCTCTCCAGGCCACTGTCCTTCAGCTACGGGATAAGGATGCCCCGAGGCCTCCCATTGGCTTTCCTGGGGACTCCCCGACATGGTCCCTGGGCGGGGCACCCTCCTGCCTTGGTTGCTGGAGCCCCTGCCCTGCTCTACCCTGCTCTACCAGGCACGGTGACCACAGCCGTCCTCTTCCTCTACGCCAGCCGGCCGGCGCAGGGAGGGAGACAGTGTGTGAGCGGGAAACACACTTTTGACAGGAATTTACTTTATTATGTTTAATTGAAAAGCGTTGACATTGGGGCATGAATATTCAGAGGTGGAGGCTGCTGGCGTGGAGCCAGCTGCCTGTGATCCGACGGACGAGCCCGGCAAGAGGCCTGTCCAAGGGGGAGCGGCAGCGGGGAAGCTATTAATTGAAATAGCTTCATTAATTAGTAATTAACAGCAGGGTAATGACTGTGTCACATGTCGTATTTCAGTGGATGCCCTTCATGTGTTACGGGGCCTTTAATTAAAGGACGTGCATTTTAATTAGAGGCAAGCTTGGCCCTGTGGCCTCTGGAATATAAAAGATGCTCCTGAGTTTAAAGAAGCTGGTGGGGACCTGGTGACTGTGAGGGTCACAGGCCAGCGTGGGAGGGGTCCCCTCCATAGGGCCATAGAGAGAGGCCCTGGAGTATCCCAGAGGCCTGCAGGGCTGGGAGGTGGTCCTGGAGTGGCACAGAGAGCTCCACAGGCTTGTGCGGTCCCCGAGCCCTTGCCCTTGTCCTGAGCAGGTGACAGCAGCCCATGGTGTCCCCAGTGTCCCCAACCCGGTGAGGGGCAGCAAGGCCCACTCCTTACAGGAAGGCTCTGTGCCCACTCGGGTGCCCTTGGCAGCTGTCTGTACCCTTGGAGGAAGGCCAGGATGGGGCGGGAGCCTCACCCTCTGCTGTGCCCCAGTGACCCCACTCTGAAGGCTAGGGCCCCCTGGCCTGGGCTGTGTCCAGCTCTGTCCTCCTGTCCCACCTGCTCCCAGGCAGCCTTGAGGCCAATGCTGGTGCTTTTTACCTCTCTGTGTCTGTGTACTCACACAGTGCACACTCACGGCTGCACATGCATACCAGTATACTCTCACGTCACGTGCACACTGCACACTCCTGTACAGCAGGCCCCATCTCACAAACAAAGTCTGTCCTGGAGAATGTTCTTAAGTCAGGATCACTCATCAGTCCGACTACACCTTTGACACAAATATACACTGTGAAGCATAAAAAAAACAAACACACATGCACAAACATGGTGAGAAAAACTATTTTTACTGGCAGATGTGTGAGCTACTTCTGCGATTTGTTCACATCTGTGAATGCTTGTAGTATGTAGTTTGTAGTATGAGATCCATTTGCATCTATGAAAGCTCCCTGTTCCAGTGTTCGTAAGTCGGGACTTACTCTACCCACTCACACGTGTACACACACTCAGGTACACGCATAACCACATGTGTGCATGTGTGCAAGTGGGAAAGCAAATCTGTGTGTCATAAGCACCTGATGTGCGGGTGCACCTGCACCCAGCCTGACCTCGGGCTCCGCTTGGGCAGGCTGAGTGTGGAGGCTGTGAGGATGCTGCTTTCGGGCTGCTCCAGCACCCTGCTGGTGGCCTTGGCGGGGCCTGTTGGACAGGACTCTAGTGCTCCCCTCTTCGCAGCCTCACCCCTTGGTGGGGGCACCCACGAAGAAAAGCACGTGCCCCTCCGCAGGCGTGTGAGACTACCTTTTCCCTGCTTCTCCCCTCTTTCTGTCCACTTCAGGCCAAGGTGGGCAGAAGGTAGGAGAAGGTCGTCTGCAGGGGGTCCCGGGGCTGTTCAAAACCCGGCCCCACATTCTTCCTTCCAAAAGGTGTAATGTGGTGGCTTCTAAAGCTACACCGTGGCTTCCGGTGCTTACACCGCTGCTCCCTGACACTCAGTGGACGCAGCCACAGTGCTGTGGAAAACCCGAGCCAAGCCGCACAGCAGTCCCTGGGAGAGGCGTGCCAGGTCCTGGCTGCTGGCTGCCCCAGCCCAGCCAACTGACCCCCGGACAGGGCTTTCTGGCGGGACCTCCCCTAATTCCTGACGCCCAGAAGCCACCAGAACAGCCACAGTGATGGCTGGGAAGTAAAACAGACCCGGGGAGATTTCAGGAGGGAGCAGGGCTGGGCTGGGACAGCTGAGGGTGCAGGGGCTGCTCCACACCATGGGAGATGCAGCCCCAGGGGGACCCTGGGTGGCCAGAGAGCTTGGCGGGGTGCTAGATAGTGCTGGTTGAGTACCCAGTCCTGGCCAGTGGCCACCTCAAAGAGTCCCTCCCAACCCATGTTTTCTACTGTTTGCTCACGGTTGTTGCTTGGGGAATTTGACCAGAGCATGTGGTCAAATTTGCAGATGGCGTGCTCCGGTTTGAAGGTGGATAACTGGATCTTGGCGTTGCTTTGGGAAAACACCTTCAACCTGCAGTGTCAGCTCCAAGGTCGTACCAATCGAGATGCCACTAAGCACCTGAGACATGTGACATAAAATACAGCCTGTCCAGTTAAATTATTCAACACATTTAACATCAATTACTGCCCTCCCACCCTACGAATGGAGCTGGGTGGGACTCAGGCTGGAAATGTATGTGGAAGAGGAGGCCTGGCCCCTCCCCAGGTGGGTGCCGCAGGTCTCTGTAACAAGCCCACCCAGAAGAGGGGCACCCAACATCAGCACTCCAGGAAGAGCACCTCAGCCTGTCTCATGCTCGATGCCTGCTGGAACCCCAAGGCCGGGTAGCCCTAGTGTAGGTGATGAATGGAGACACTGGAAGGCCCGAAAGGTCCTGGTGGGAGGACAAAATGGTTAAGTGCTGTGACGTGGTTGAATGTGTCACTGCTGCACGACCCAGCAAGCCTGCTCTGCGTTCTGCCCAAGAAGAGATGAAAGCAGACCCACGATGGAGTGTGCACAGCAGCACTGTTCACCACGGCCCGAGGCTGGGGTGGCCATGCCAGGGAGTCAGGGCAGTGACTGCTGTCCCTCCCACGCAGCAGACTGCTGCTCAGCCCTGAAAACAATGAAGGCCTGACCCGCTAGGCATGGACGCGCCTCGGGGGCTGAGCTCAGTGAGAGGAACTGGACACAGGCTACGCCCTGGGGTGATCCGCTGTGTACACTGTCCGGAGCAGGTGAACCTGGAAACGGGGAGCGGCTGGGTGGGAGTGGGCAGGACTGCCTGGGGCACAGCTTTCCTTCAAGGCGAGGCAGTGCTTTAGGCCTGGATAGGCATGGCAGCTGCACAGCATTGCAGGGAACCAAGCCCCAGGGGATCAGAGCGATTCCTGCTTCAGTTACTGGCACTGGATGTCTCCACCCTCCCTCCGCTGACCCAAGTGCAAACTTGGCCCTGCCTTCCCAGCATCCCTCTGTCTCCTGGCTTGGGCTGGTGTGGGGACAAACCCTGGGTAGCCCTGGATCCCCTTTCCTTGGAGACCCATCCAGGCCCAACACGGGGAGCACATTGTCCTTGCCGTGACCAAGCTCAGCAAGCAGCAGTGAGCAAAGGGGCCACCTAGGACCCTACCACTGTGTACCCTTCGAGGTACAGGGTGCCTCCTGCTGCCCCTCGGCTTCTCTCCAAACGGCCTCACACAGGGTTTAACATTTCATGTTTCTGTGCATAACTGGCGGAAACGATTTTCCCCAGGGTTAATTTTTCATGTGACGAAATTTACAAGAAAGTGTGGCTAACTTGTTCTCCATCCACATTTGCCAGCGATCCCACTTGCTGTATTTAGATGTCTCCAACTTCCCGGGCAGGCTCGGGGCTTTGCTGCACCCTGCAGTGTTTGCTCTTGTGACCTTTAGTGGACAGTGAAGGGGACCCTGGAGGTGACAGCCCTGGGACAGCTGAAAACAGCGCCATGACCACGGGGACAGCGTGGCTGGAGCCAGTGACACACCTTGGCAGCCCGTGCCGTCTCTCCCCACCCTGCCCCCATGCTGCTGAGCTGTGATCACACAGCTTTGCTGGTCCCGGTGCCTCCTGCCCCTCCCTTCCCAATATTCTGTCCATATTGAGTAGATTTGGGCAGCGAGCAGCTTCCAGCCAACTCCATCCTGGCCCATCTGCTGGGACAAGCAGGGGCTTGGGAAACAGATGGACACTAGTCTCAGCCTTTGGAGAAGAGACTTCTGCACCGGCCAGCTCTACTCTGGCTCCTTAATTACCACCTTGCCCACCACCCTGACCCACCCTGGGCCTGGGCCTGTCTGTCACGAGTTATCTCCAAAATTGGCCCTAATTGGTGGTGGCTCACAGCTCCTGCAGGGACCCAGGGGACTTGGCTGCCTCCTGGTGGGTCGAGAGCCAGCCTGCCCCCACCAGTGAGCCCTGCGTGAAGTGGAGGACGTGGGGACAGATGGCAGCAGGCATAGCCCCTGCCTGTCCCTGCAGGACAGGTCACTCTCCAGAGCTGGCCTCAGAACCCAGGTGTTTGCAGAGGGCAGGGGTCCCCAGGAGCATCTTGAGTTACACCATTTGGGGGTTCCGTCATGGAAGCGGCCCACGAGGCGGGGACGTGTGTGCCACACCTGTGTCCTGCCCCAAGGAGGCACTGGGTGTGGTGGCTGCACCTCCCAGCTTGCAAACCCTGTCTCTGTCCCTTGCAGGGAGCCAGTGTCTGTTTGCTTGCGGGCAAGATTCAAAGGAGTCTGAAGAATAAATGTTTCCCTAAGTTTTAGCTGACATTCAATTTTTAATGACTTTCCAAACAAAGTGAGGATGGATGCGGCCACTATACGGCGTGCTGATGTCTGACA